TCCAACAATATCCAACATTATCCCTAATCAGCACCAGTGAGGGGGGGGGGGCATGCCTGATGGAACAGCAGTTTGCAATTGTGAGTTTCTGTTTGCGGTCGGTCTTCTTGCAACGATCAACGTGGGAATTAAACAATTTTGCAAGGTAACATGGAGCTCGCGTATAGCCTTCTGTGAGTCAACAAGACAGCGGTCTGCATAAGGCCCCTTTGGGGGGGGGAGGTGCCTTTTTGTGACGGGACACTGGGAATGCATCGGAACATCAACTCAACATGAGCCTATGAGTCTGGCTGTTCCGAGACGATTTCGAGGTTCTGAAATTAACTGGGTTGCGGCTCAAGAGGGGTAGGCAACCTCAATACTCCCTGATCATCTCTAGAGTACTCCTCAAGGCCTTGCAAAATATGGCCCAGGTACCTGTGTGATGGGTACATCTCCTCAACGCTTTATATAGGTCTTTTACCTACAGCCCAGGGAACTTATTACAATGCAGAACGCGGGGCGTCCGAAGCCTGCAGAACCATACTGTAGACCCCTGAACCTCTATCTAGTTTTAAGCAACTGGCTTGTAGGAAGTGCTACTCCTGTAGCTACTCCTGTATGCTACACATGAGCCAACGTAGCCAGAGGCTGCTACATATTGGTTTTGGTTTCTCTGGTTGCTGGCAAACACCCGAAAAGGAACTGCATTGGAGCTTTTGGGGGTATAGGACATTGCGTTCCAGACGTACACTGGCCTCCCGCACGACCCGAAGCAAAAAACACTAAAGCCATAAACCCAACCCTGCAAACCTCAACCCTAGACCCTGACCCCCCAAACTCTAAACCCTAAACCCCTAAACCCTGAACCCTAAACCCTGAACCCTAAACCCTGAACCCTACACCCTAAACCCTACACCCTGAACCCTAAACCCTACGCCCTGAATCGTGTGGTGCTGCTGCTGCGTGGCTTGCTCACGGAGTCCATTTGAGCACCTCAGAGCTTCTCCCTGGTGCTTGGTAGGGAACTGAGGAACCCTAAGGCCCAATTTAGGTATTATTTATAGGGTTTGGGGCCCAATGTCAGTATTATCTATATGGTTTAGGGCCCAACGTAGGCATTATTTATAGGGTTGAAAGCTCAATTTTAGGTAGTATTTATGCGGCTTAGGGCCCAATGTAGGTATTATGTATATACTTAGAGCCCCAGGGGGATGGAAAAGAAACGGAAATAACTTCAGCAGGTAGAATCGTTTGCGGTCTAGTAATGGGATCCTGCTTCCGGGGCACCTGGTTCCCTAGTGGAGCTCTTGCAAAATCCTAACCCTGTAACCTGAACCCTATGAACTCTAAACCCTGAAGCCAAGACTCTAGAGTGCAAGCCTCACTTCAGTCTAACTACAATATCCCGACAACTTCAGGGAACACTGACCAAATGCCCCACAATACCTATGTGAAGAGAGACACTTATGAGTAGTGTTTTTTTGGTGGTTGAACGTAGTAAGATTCTATTCCTTATAACACACTATACCCAAAATGAGGATATAATCTTATTCTATATTGGGTACCAAAGTACCCCCAAATAAAATACTACTCACGTGATTTCTGTACTTCCCTCTTTTCCCTGGGTTCCTCGAAGAGCCGTTCCACGAAGCCTACCTATGGGAGTCCTTGGGACACTAGCAGCATATGTGGATTTGATATTTTGGGATCCCTCTTACAGATTCTACAGGGGCAGATTATACGGTATCTTCCAGCTAGCGCAAAAGCGCAAATCTCGGGCTGGAGACTTCACACCTTCATTGAGGGTGTGGGAGGGTTCGGGTGTAGAGTTAGTAATGAATATTAGTGAGTATTAGGAATACTAAATAAAAAATAAAGATAGTAATACTTAATGGTAACTGTAAGAACAAGGGTTAGGCCTTCATGGGTCTGTGGCTTAACCACTGTTGAAATCTGCGGACCTGAGGTGCGCCAGCCTGGAACCTGATGAACACGAGTGGCACTTTAAAAACTTTGGTTTAGGGTTTAAGGGTCCAGGGGGTCCCCCAAAACATACATTGAACATAAAACTCTCAAACCATCTGAAAATTGTACATGTATAAGCCCTACATGCCGCAACCACATACAGATCCCGAGGCAATGCTACGAATCTTTGACTGCAAACGCGTGTGTTCGGCAAGCTCTGCACGTACTGGTGCATTTTTCTCCCGCTCCTCGTCCAAATCCGTTCGGACCTACTCGCGCTGTTTGGTGGGCAAATGGTCATGGCTCAGGATTTCAGAGTCTAGGGCTTGGGGGCCTAAGGCCTTGAGTGTACGCTCCGTTTGCCAGCTCGATTTGAGAAAGCACCATGGAGTTTTAAGATTTTCCTGGCAACCCACTCCTGGATTGCCAGGAGAAAAAAACGTGTGTGTGTGTGTACTTAATGAGGGCTCAACAAACAAGATCGCTGTTTGCTTGCCATGTGCGTCTATGTTAAACTAAAATTTGACCTCGTTCAGAAGGTTTGGCTGAACAAGAGTTTACGGGCGTAATGACAAGTTGGAACCCGTTTCTTTATGCTGAACGGCTTTGAGCTATGCTGCTTCAGCAAAGAAGTTTGTCACAGAGAAAAACACTCATCTAGGGCACCCACTGCGGACTCCCTAAGATATGGCTAAGGCCTCCCCTAAACCCTAAGCCCCAAACCCTAAACGCCAAACCGCAAACCCTAAACCCCTACAGGTCCAAGGTGGCCTCCTTCTACTCATAAGAGCTTGAGATTACTAGCCGTTGGCCCACTCGAGCTACGGGTGGGAATTTGGTAGTTTCCCAAAACTGGGCTTACCTGTTAGATGGTCCCCATAATAGGATTATAGCACTCTCCCCATAATAAGGACTATAGTGTTTGGGGGTCGTTTGCATTGAGGTCCACATATGTTTCCTTGCCATTTAGTTGCTCAAGCTCGGGGCATCTTTGCTCGGCTTCAGGGTTGAAGCGTCACGTGTGAGACCTTGAACCTGGACCTCAAAACCCAAGCCAGGGCGAATGGGCAACAGATTAGCACTCTGCATAGGCCTGCGCACTATCACGTCTGGTACACCCAGGTTAGATTTCTTCTTGGTCCCTTAGCCCTCAGCAAGACATGCCCTTTTCCCTCACCTGTTTTTCTGACGCCCCTTTTTACGGACACTTCCAAATCAAAAATCCACAAACCAACAAAAACGAAGCCTCTACAATGCCTAAACCCAAAGCCCTGCAGCTAAGACGAAGGGGTCTTTGATTTACGAAGCGTGCACAATGACATGAGTTACAGTCCATTTTCCCTATATATTAATGGACATGGGCTCCTGCTAGGGAATATGTTAGGCACTAAACTAAGCTACGTATACTACAGGCACCCTCAACCTCAATGGTCCCCAGGTCAGCCTAATATTGACAATGTCTCATAAATCATATGAACCACAGTTCCCGTTTCATTTTCACTTTGTCCAGCTGATTCTCCGTGATTGGAGTAACAATCCTAAACTATAAACCATTCAGGCTGTAGACCCTTAACTTGAGACTCCGTAGATTGTGCCTGGATCTCATTTCTGTAAGGCCGTACCTGGCCACATTCTCTTGATAATAGCCTATGCGCCAGGCCCCAAAGTGCGGATCCCCAAACCGTAAACCATAAACCCGAAAGAGCTGCCTGACATCCATCCAGGCTGACAAACATCGCGCCCACTACCCCCTTTACTGGGGATTTCCTTCTGGCCCCTCTTGCTCTCCGTCAGGTAAGCTTATCTCAGGATAACTAAGGCTAATTCATGGTAGTCAAGGGGGGAACCTAGGGAATCAGCTTGGGGGGGTCAAGTTTCATGTTAGTTCATGTCCCCTACACCGCGACTCTAAATGATGCAACTCCTCATCCCTTGAGACATGAGCCTTACAAGCCCTAACCCTAAGGGTCCAAGGACCCAAATAATGGGGTTTTAGGGCCCAAATACTTTAATATTCATGGTATTTGGGCCCTAAAGCCCTATTATTTGGGTCCTTGGACCCTTAGGGGTAGAGCATCCGAAAACCCTCAAACCCAAAACCACAAGACTTAAAATCCCTAAACCCTAAACCCTAAACCCCGTGCACAGGCCTGCTGCATGTTCTGGTCATGCTTGCCCCGGTCTGCTAGCTGAGTCTTGGCGATTTCTCGGATCTCCTGGCATAAATAGGGTTAAGGGTTTAGGGGCTTAGGGTTTAGGGGTTTAGGGTTTAGAGTTTAGGGTTTAAGGCATAAAAAGTTTAATCTACCTGGCACATTTAGACAAATTGCACATGGGTTTTCAGAGTCCCAGCCAAGCAACAAAAAGGGGGGCACGCACGAGCAGCTGAATTTTGGACACGCCAGGAGCTTGCAATGCCGGAATGCAAGTCATGTGCCAAGTGCAAACAGAAAGCAAGCACACAAAATCAACGTTCGTTGTAGGTATTTGGCCCAGCTGAGGCTGGCTAGAGGCTGGACTGTGCCTCCCGATGTACGGGAGGAGCTCAGAGGGGCTCCATTCGTCCACTGCATAGGCACCCTCAAAGTGTCTCACCCAGTGCGGGTGTGCAGGCTGACGTTGTATTCAGCGCCTGACTACCGTAGTAGTCGGGAACGGCCGAAGCAGGCCGGGTCGGAATTTAGAGTCCAGACCTTGTCCGGAAGCGCAAGGTTTTGTGCCGGCCTCATGTGAAGCCGGACCCGCATAACTATACATCTTTTTGGAAAGCTTCTGAAAATTGGGACTCCCCCTTTTGGGGTCTCCATAAGCAGGTTTATAGCATACTGGGGCCTAAATTAGGAAGAACTACCCTACCCCTAATTTAAATGTGATCATAAGCGCCACCACTGAAGCTGCGTATGAAAAACTGGCCCCTCGGCCGTCACATGAGCTATATAAACGCTGCCTGGAAGTCAGCAAGTAGGTAATATCAATGCTAACAGCCTACTTCAAGCAAAGACAAAAAGGCAATCATTCCGCATAATGTTGGGGTTTAAGTGCTCATATTCTTCACCAAGAACCGCTGCTAGCGGATGATTGTAACTGAACTGAGCCGGAGGTCGCGTCCATGCAGAGAGGGGGAAGCCGCAGAGCAATCTTCTAAGATTCTTCACCATCACCTTTCATCTAACTGGAAAGGTTAACTCCGAAGCCTGTACTACAACTTCGATACCCTTACCAAACCACGCTGCTAGGTTGAAGGTAGATGGTTCCATCTACCAAAAGCAGATCCCACTTCCGTGGCGTGAGGATGACCATGAGGCCTGCTATCAAGAACCTGCCCCCAGGTCCATGCACCCAATAGCTAAGTAGGACCCGGTTAAGGGTTCAGAGTTAGTTCGTGGTGTTTGGGTAGCAAAATTTGTAGAACAAGTTCGGAGGTACGGTATAAGATGATTGGGTACTTGGACCTGTGCGGCTACAAGCATTTGCCTTCCACTGTAGTACCTTCATTCAGAAACCTGAATTGTAACTGGAACTAGGGCTCTTCCAGGCATCCTGAAACCTGACCTTATCACCCCCTCACAACAGAAGCATAGCTCACCCGCTGCACCGATAAGTCCTGCTTCACCTCTTTCTGGATGCGGTCAATCCGAAACCTTGCCAGTTCAGAGCGGATTCTGGGCTATATAAAGTGTAAACCCTGAACCCACATCCTCAATCCCCAACCCCAACCCCTATAATCAAGATTAACCTTGCAGCCCGTAAGTTGAAACTCGAAACCTGGAACCTGACGAGGGACCATAAATAACTTCAATAGCCTGCAGTCCTTTGAGCAGTGGTGGATATGATGTGCGTGTTCGTTCCTTTGAGGAAGAATAACATAAACCTTGAGCTTATGTGCAGTGCCTCTCTTTGTCCAACTTCTCCTCGGTGTCATCACACGTCTGTGCCTCAGCGGTCAGTTGGTTTTTTGGGCATGCGGAAAACGAAGGTCCATGAGCATCAAGAAAGTTACTGCTGGTTAGCAAGGAATGCAGGAATGGATCCCTGCATTAGCCCAGCAATCCCCAAGACTTTAGCAATTTCCATTGTCTTTTCCATGTCCTTCACTCCTTACTGGCAACCAACAGGGAAAAGACCAAGCTCGTGACAACCCTCTTCATGGTGTCAGCAATGTCCTGCATGATCCGGGCTTGTGCGAAGGAACTTGAGCTGAGCTACCGTGACAGGGAAACAACATTATGTGGCACATGTACTTTCGATGGTAACTTAACTCGAACCCTATGTGGCCTTTGCATAATCCTACATTACCACTGTGACGCCTTATGCTTAACTTCCTTAAGAACAGCGAAAGAATCAAAGCATGTACTCCCCATCCATATAAGGGGAATGTTAGCAAGTTGGCCGATTACCACTTGTTTTTGGAATTGTAGTCTAAAGCGCAAAGGGACCCCCGAAATTGATCTCAAGGAGATTCCTGAATGACAGAAATAGAAAAAGCTACCCAGGTACGCGACCGGGGGAGCTCGGCAATTCAACAGTTTCAAGTAAACTGCTCCATCAATCCTCCCTTCAATCAAGCCAAACCCGTTTGAACCCGTAGCAAGCGTAACTTGTGTTATTGGGTTCGGCTGCTCCAGAAGTCCCGCACAGCAACATCCCAAAAGACTTTGCGTGCCGTAGAACAAAGTATGAGATCCTGTGGGTGGAATGATAGTCTAAGTCTAAGTTCAGGCTCTGCTTCCTAGGTGGATGCATTTCCTGAGGCTTCCGCCTTGTGGGTGGATACAGCCAACAGCTTGTAGAGCTACTTGCTGATAGCTATCCCGTTCGGAATGGCATGAGAGCATGGTAATGCGCTTGGTGACAGTTCTGCACTACAAGAAGAACAGGAGCTATAGTCTAAACTCCTAGTATCCCCCTTCATAACCCCTATAATACTCCCCTATCTTTTCCTTTGTATAGCTTCTTTTATTGTTCACACGGCTCATGCTGCCAGCTTCACGAGGCACTCCTTGCGCATCTCTTGCACACTGGCAATCTCGAGATGGTAATCTCGGCGGATGTCCTGCAAAAAAGACACCCTAAGGGTCCAAGGACCCAAATAATAGGTCTTTAGGGCCTTTAGGGCCCAGATACTACTATGGTATTTGGGCCCAGATACTATGGTCCTAAAACCCTACTATTTGGGTCCTTGGACCCTTAGGGGAAACAACCGCTTGTATGTCTCACCAAACTCAGGTTGCTGCAAGGCGACTGTATGCAAGGGGAGGGTGCAAACAGTGGGCAGTGACATGGTGGGTGCCCACAGATGCGGCTCATATGATGCTCGTACAAGGGAAATGGTGTTGTATCCCTGTCCCGCATAATGTCCGCATTGTGAGCGACCTGGCTGCGGACAAAAAAAAGGCCAGTCGCGCCCCGAAACAACTTGCCCTGCAATGACCTCGCCACAATGGATCACCCCCTCCCTAATAATTGTTCCGACAATGGAACATAGGACTAGATTGAACATTTGATGCTTAGGGGGTAGTTGTGCGAGGCCCATGATTTGCGAAAGTGATCAGTTTATTGTCCCCTACTTGCACATGCAGGGCAATGAGAATGCCTTCCAAGTACTAAGTGTAACTATACTGAACCTTGAACCCTGAAACTTAAACGTATACGATGGCCCCGAAGCCTCTGTGGAGTGGTCCTGAATCTAAGCGTAAAAGAGTGTCCCCGTCTAGAAGTCCCTAAGTTAGGGTCGAGGGCTTTGGCCCCCAAACATGTACTGGGGAGGAAGGTGGTAGGGCTTAGGGCCCAAATATCAACATCCTTCATGGGGACTCCCTTAAAGGGACCTCTCATTTTGCTATCGCCCGTCTGTGCAGTGCACAGTCATAGCAGAGCCCAAGAAGCCTAAAGCGGACAAACTGAACAAATCCAACCTTGCCCAACATGGAAGGTCCTCGCCTGTGTTTCACGGACTAAGACTTAGCTAGCCAGACAAACCAAGCGCAGAAAAACATAAGAGGTAAACACTAACAATGGCATGAAGATTTGTTGCTGGAGTTTTGGGAAGAGTGCACAGATCAAAGCAGTTGCCAAAACCAGAATAGAGTTGTGCACATGACACCCCTGCATACGTTGCTGGGCGGGTCACATGCGAGCCACAGGACCTTTCAACTCAATCACCAATAGACGGATATTCTGGGCTGGCCCCTCAAGCACTTTGAAAAATATTAGTATATAGGGTCCCTTATTAAAGCCATTAGGGAAAATACTAAATATTTCAGGTGCCTACCCAGTATTCCTCAGCCCAACACCGTAATCGTAGCTTACTTTGTTACAAGCTCTGGTCTCTCTAACCTGGCATCTGGTTGCCTAGACTTCCTGGTGGTTAGGGAACATGCTATATAAGGGTTACATTCCCTTATTCCCTACTAGACCCCCCAGTAAGTAGAATGGCCAAAGCAGCTACTGCTCAAAAATCCCAAGCTGAAGCTGATGAGGACCCTCTTCTCATGAACCATGGATGGATTGTTGACCCCTAACTGCGTTGCTGTTTTGGAACGTGAATTAAGTAACCATATTAAGGGGACCTTAATCTTTACTGTATACAAATTTTCTGGGAACTTAACTTGAGTTCCTTGACATGAACCCGGTAAAGACTCGCCTCATCAACAAGCAGCCTGGTGTGGTAGGTTTAGGGGTTTAGCGTTTAAGGTGCAAGCACAGAATCCAACAGAGTATAAGAATGACAGCTGAAACAAGGCTCTACAGTGACGGCCGGTGTACCAATGACGCTCGAACGGGAAGCCCTACACGGGCTGAAACAGTGCTCGAAAGCAAACCAACCTGTAACCCCAATTACCTACAGTTTGTGTGTGTTCTGCCTAGTAATCAAGGGGTAGTTACTACTCAAACGTAGGTACTTGGGATTACAAGGACCCTTTTAAAGTCACGGTGGTGGGCGAAGTGCCAAACGTAAACCTATGCTTTACACGCAACATTCTACTTCCTGGGGGCTAGTAGGGAATAAAGGAATGTAATCCCTACATACTCCCTATGTCGTATCTTCCCTTATTCCCCACTAACCACGGTAAGTTTAGGCAATTCTTCTCTGGACATCTGGAAGCTCCGGCCGTCATACCTCAGCATTACAGGAACCAAATGCCTACGTCACCCTACCCTAAACCCTAAACCCTAAACCCGAAACCCTCTGAAGGCCAGGCAAGGAAGTTACACTGTTTTTTGAAGTTGGCTTTCATCTCCGCGACCTCCACATCCTGGAGAAATGTGCTGTGTGAGAAATAAGATTCCGAAGGCCATAGCTTGAGCTGGAGGAAGACCATTGAAATGGGGGGCTTCCCCAAATTAGGTGTACCTTTTTGTGGTATATTTAGTAAGGATTCTGGCATATTGGGGTCTATATTGGGTCCCCCATATTTAGGGAAATTATAACTAGCAAATCTGCGGAGGGATTGCTGTAAGGGTAGCTGCTTTGTGAAGCCACGCAGTTTCGGGTTTTTGTTTGAGGGTACAGGGTTTAGGGTGTATAGGCTTTAGAATTGAGGGTTAGTTTTTAGGGTTTGTTTCAACCCTGCAGGCCTTTTTTTACGTCTGGTTTTAGAATCTTAGGCTTTGGGGATTATATGGTCTATTGTACGGCGCGGCCGGTCCGGCTCTCTGCTCACAAAGGTTTTGCTATATGCCATGAGCTAGAATGGAAGCTCTGGGGTCGAGAATGTCCAAGAAGGTAGTATTCCTTTGCTGGTTTGTGCTAGGCTGCCCCAATCTGCGCGTACCTCTGTGGGAAATGCTTGAGACTTTCATGAGTTCCTATGCAGATACCTGTAGGCCGAAGTATCTCCATCATGGGCACTTGGAGCCTGTGGGCTAGGTCCGGTACCTCTTAAGATCTGCGAGTCCGCAATATTGCGCGAGAGCCTGAACATTTGAAAGGGTTCACCACATGAGGCAATACCCCTTTGCTCGGCGAACATAACTTAAATGATCTTTGCACTGCTATCCTTCAGGAATTTGTTGGACATCTGGCTCTTTGGACTTGTGTAATGAAAGGCTAAGTCTGCCTGACAAAGTCAAGGACTAGCTCTCGCTGCGCAGGAAAATAAAGGATTGATTCTTGGCTTTCTAAGCACCTCCACACTCCTTTGCAGGCGAAATCAACTGTAAACGGATTTCACCCGCTGGACCGTTTTAGTCTCACCGGCCGCTTATACTCCGCAGACATGTTACAGGTTGTCCTCAGGCAAGTTAAGCAACCTTAAACTCGAAACATTATTCGCAGGGACCAGTGTAGATGCCTTACATCGTGTTTTGGGTTCTGAGCTTCGGGGCTTTTGAGGCCTGAGGAGGGGCCCCGTGCAGCCACCCATGCAGCTTAGGCAAGAGCTCGGGAAAAATTAGGGGGCCCTTTTCTCTGGGGCCCTATGGGACAGATGTTCGTATGTTGGTGTCGATCTTGGGGCATCCGAGCTTATGAGCACTTCGCATGAGATATCACGGGGACCAGCTAGGAATATGAAGGGTCTAGATTAGGAGGCCCCCCACCCTGTAATAGTGGTAAACAAGAATACAAGAGGACCCTAATATAATCCCTATTATCCCTAATAGTAATAGTGGTAAAATAAGAATACAAGAGGACCCTAATATAATCCCTACTATTATCCCTAATAGTCACTATTACTGGGTCGGGGGTCCACCTAAGGTCTAGAGGTTTGGGGATACGGTTGATACTGATCTCTAAACCTCCGACAGGCTCTACCACTTAGAGACTTTAATGGGCAAACGCAGGTAGCACTAGTACACTTATAGAGGGCCACCGTGAGGACTGTAAACAAACATCCTGAACAAACTCCTGGCCTGATCCTTCACATACTGGTGCCATTCCATCCGGTTCTGCTCAAAGTCCTGACACGCATCAAGCCCTGAACGCTTAGACCACAAACCTGAAATCGTAGCGTTGAGGGTTTAGGGCCCAATTATTACGCTGCCGAGTTCCCCATTCCCCATTCAACCCCTCCCCATAATATGCAACCCACCCAAGCCCTAATATTAAACAGTCTCACTCGTGTGTATATCTTACAATATATTGGGAACATCTACTACAAGTGCCAAAAAATACCAATATCATGTTGAGGTCCAGTTGAGGTACCATATGCTATAATTAGACAAGAAATATGGAACCATAATATTGGTAATTATCACTAACCCCTAAACCTAAACCATAATATTGTAAATTATTTAGGCCCCTCCAGTAGTGGTAGGTGAAGGGGAGGGCCAGGTGCAGTCTGGATGGTTTAGGGATCTGAAATCCTCCATAACCAGCGCTAAAAAGGTTCAACATTTCATTAGAGAGACTCAAAAAGGAAGCCCCAAAAAGGCTAAAGCAAGTCCTTGTCGATCACTTACCCCAGCGTTATCGCGTGGGTAGGCCACTACCAAAAAGGCTAAAGTTCTTCCATTGGCTAAGTAAGGAAAGGGCTTTCTGAGAAGTCTAAGGGAACTATGGTGGAGTCCAGTGGAGGGCCAAGGTCCCCCTTTACGTCTGAGAATTATCGTCGTTTAGGTGTACTTACTGCCCAGCATTTAGGGTTTAGGGTTTAGTGGAGGGGAAAATCCTAGTTGCTGAGTTCCCTGGCCCCAAAAAGGTTAACGCTGTATTAAAGTAGGACTATATATACCCCAAAAGGTTAAAGGTTACCTACCCAGCTCCTAAGAAATATAGCGGAAGGTTTCAGAAACTTGGCAGAAACTTCCAAACCTGAGGATGCATTGTACCATGCCTCTCATGGCAAAATATCAGGACACCACGCCCTTTCTGTCCGGTAATGGCAATCCTAAACCCTAAAGCCGAAACCAAGTTTCCAGTCAGTACACTTACTCTTGCATTGGGGCAGTATGCCCTATCCGAGTATGTAACCCTCATACTATTTTGATGATATCCACTATTACACGCATACACACATATACACACATATGTGTATATATATATATATATGTACTGCGCGCCCACCCCAGCCAGGTCCTTCTCAAAGGACTCTTGTTTCTGCGTCAGGCTCTTGAGGCCTGCCAGGCATCTTCCGAACGCTAACCTACCTCAAAGGATTACTGGGGTCTATAAGATTAAGGTTTAGGGTTTAGGGTTTAGGGGTCTCTAAGATACAGGCAGGGATCCCCTTACTTGTAACTTGGGTTGTAAGTGGGTCATACTTGGAATTAGTATGGTTCTCTGTCCGATAAGCTGTAGTTCTGGGACTCATAAATATAGTTGTGTAACTGGGACCCTAAACCCTTAATCCTAGAGTTTCCATGTTCCACCTTCTGTTCCGTTTGCTTCTCCATTATAGGGGGCAGTCTTTCAGTTTGAGCCTAATGTTGTCAAACTTGAGGAAACCTCTTTGGGAGTCTCAATGATAAGGATTGCGGCATATCCGGGTCTACATGGGGGCCCCATGTTTATGGCAATCCCATGCGAGACCCTTCGAAGTGATGTGTTGAGCGGGCGACCAGACAATGGGACCAGTCACAGGGTTTAGGGCTTAGGGTTTAAGGGTTTAGGGGTTTAGGGTTTAGGGTTTTAGGGTTTAGGGTTTTGGGGTTTAAGGGTTTACTGTTTCAGGTTTAGGGGAACAAAGGGGCTTGGGCGTGGAGATTCCCGTGCAAATTGCGTAGAACCCTGTCTGGGGTGTCGCTGTGATTCTGCAATCGCTATAATTCTGCAATCTTTTTAAACCCCTAGCTATCGGCAAGGCCGGGCTTCGGGCTCTACGTGGGGAATTGCAGCGGTTTCAGAATTATAGGAAATTTCTCAAACGAGGGGCCAAATATTACCGCAACATACTGCAATTCTTATGGGCACTCCCAAAAGGCTCAAACTTCGACAAAATCAAGTTTGTTTCGGTTTCAGGGCGGAGTCCCGACAGCCCCCTACGGAATACAAGGATCTGTGGCAGGACTTTCCCACGATGCAAGCCCTGCGTTCGAACCGATCCATGTGTGGCTCATACATGCATAGATACTTGGTTGAATTGGCTATAACACCGCTACCGGCTATTGTTCTACATCTGGACAAGACACGGCAAGACTGACGATGCTACTTTTAAAGATGACAAGATCTTGAGATCCCTGCGAGAAGGAACTTTCCAACCAGGCCATTGTTCCATACATGTTTTTTGTAGTTGACTATCCTCTCTCTCATTAGTTAGCAGTTTTAGATAAGGATCAATCTAATGGTGTTAATGGTGGGCACATATGATTATTCAACCACAGCTTGTACTGGCTGTTCTTGAGCGGGGAGAGAGCTCAACATACGGCGCAACCGCAGACAGGAGTTCCTATGGCGAAACTGCCTCGCACAGAATTGGCTAACCATTGCTAGGTTAAAATCATGTTCACCTGCCAGCCCCCCCCCCCCCGCCCACCAACATGCTATTGTGATTTTTATCATACGATTATTGTTACTGGCACTGCTGCTCTTGTCAGTGTTAACTACCCTACCATGCAGTGTGCAATCTAGGCCAGCTCACTAGAAGACACAACTGCTACATTATACTTAACAAGACTATACCTATGCTACCCTTTCAGCTTCCGTGTTCCTTTCCATTAGGTTCTCCATGAGAGTGTAGTTCTTCACACTCCGCCCTACCTAGGTGCAAAACCGGGCGACCTCGCTCTGTGTCCGTGATTCGGCGCAGCATTGATGGGATCGGTGAAGCCTCATCTGAACAGCTTCCAAAACACAGGGCCCAGTTGCGTACCCCAAAATCTAAGTGCACATGAGCTATACTCTAAACTCCTAGTATCCTCTTGATAACCCCTATAGTAATTCCCTATATAATCCCCTTTATACCTCCCCTTGATAAGGAGTTTAGAGCATAGCTCACATGCGCACAACCTACGGCCTATCCCAACTTCAACAAAGCTGAGAGTAGTGTGGTAGATTTGAAATTTCCCGACCTCTACAATCTGCGTACGCCTGGATTACAGGGAACGCCTCCCGCGCCCACCATGCCCACCCCAGCCAAGAGCGGCCTCCTACTTGAAAGTGTTTAGGTCCTCAGGGTTTCAGGCTTTAGGAAGATTCAATCGTCCTTCAGTAATCTAAATGTTCACATGAGCTATATTCTAAACTCCTAGTCTCCCCCTTAATATCCCCTATAGTAGTCCCCTATATATCCCCTATATGACCCCCTTTGAGGAGTTTAGAATATGGTACACATGGGGTGCAGGTGGTAGTGTGGCCACGGGGCGGGACTCAAGTTCATAGGACTACCCTGCCCTCGCCTCAATATGCGCGACCCTGAGCTGACATGGCCGAAGAAGCCCGAGCACGCCTTAACGAGCCCTGACAACGGCTGCCTAAATGTCCTGGGCCTTGCACAGTCATGGTTCACATCATCCGATGTTTGCCTCTGAACCCCTCAACAACCTAAAACTATTGATTGATGTAGCTGAGAAGCCTTCAATGTCTTCAACCATCACAGCATACTACAGATACCCTAAATCCTAAACCCTAAACCCTTACAAAATTGCAGCGTAGGCTCACCTACCTGTAGGTAGCAGTTGGTGGTTTCAGTGTCCAGGGCTGATCACAACCTTCTTTCACTTGCCATCCCCAAAAGGTACCCCTAACTTTGGGAAACCCTAAACCCCCAAACCCTAGATGTCCCCTATAATCAATCCTCTTTAAGGGGTCCCCGAATTTGGGGCGGAGCCTCTTGAGACATGGTGGGCTGTAACTAGGTTCTGCAGGAAAGCTCAATACTAGCGCACGTGAAGTTGCAGAGCCTTCTCGAAAAGCTTCAAAAGTCGGCCGAAAAGTCAGAAGTCTTCAAAATGTCATCGAAGTGTCTCCAAAACAAGTCTCACAAAACGACCCAATGATGTTGCAAAACAACTTGTAGCCAGATTAATTACCATTGAGGGTCTTTTTCAGAACTTTTGGTGCTTAACATGCTTGAACGCCGTTTCCTGGAAAAGGTCGTGGGATGTGAAAGCGTCCACAAAGAAAATCTCAAAACGGTCGCGGTCGGCAAATCCTGAAAACGTCCTCGAGTGAAACGTTACCACGTTGAGGACTTCTAGGGAGCTTGTGTGAGGACCGATTGCAGACGTTTGGCTCTGGGCCAATTTGCGTTGCAGAACTCTCCCTTACTGTTCAAAGGACCTCTCTAGGCTCGTTCAAACGCGAGGTTCCGTGAAGTGCGGAGATTCGAGACAGAAGCCCCAAGACTTTGACTTTGGTCAATAAATCGACACTATGTTGGGAACCCCTGAGGCGACATCTTGTGCCTTTCACCCCATACACACGCGCAGGGCTTCCCAACCTGAATGATTGCTACCAATTCGTGCGCCCTATCTAACCCCAAATATATGTTGAAGACCTACTTCTTATCTACAGAACTTCTGGGTAAGCCTCAGCTGAGGTAACGGCATTTATAGTCGCACCTTCAAACCCAACTTCCTGTTTAACCTTGAACGGAGACGTCTCTCTGCGATAGCAAAACGATCATGCAAGTGCAAACTGCCCCAAACAGAAGTTTCCGTCATTACCCTAAGGTTCCAAGCGCTCGAGAATGATCTTCTTCCCGAGCACTGCATCACAACTTCTAGTACCAAAAGCCCGTGTACCCAATGATTGGGTACATAACCCTCGGGGCGCTGTGAATTTTACTGCATGTTGGTGCAGGTAGACCCATATTTGAATAAGTGCTACGGGCCCCTTAGGAAACCTAAGCTGTAAACCCCAAACCTCAAAGCCTCAAGCCGAGTAACCTACCTAAAAAATGCAAATAACAACAAGAAGAATCATAATACTAATCATAATGAGTTTTGTACCTGCCATTTTGGTATCCTTGCCTTCTTGTTAAGGTACTCTGGGTAGACTGCACATGCCAGGTTCCCCGGCGAAGTCCGTCAGCTGTTTCAGCTCTTTGGTGAGGAGAGTTAATCCTGGTTCTTGGGTCCCCACCATCTTGGAAGGTGGACTTAGGGTTTAGGGTAATAATAGCAATGATAGTAATAATGGACAATAGCAATAATAGTACTCTTGGGAAGTCAAATAAGCATTTCCAGATCCCCTTATAAAATCCTTAGTATAGGCATAGGGTGCCCCCTATGTCCCTAGGTAAAAAGGGCACCCTGTTGAGAAAACCGAGATACGACTTGAAGGGCGAGGTTTATTCAGGCTCTGGTTTTTATTGGCGGCTGCAGACTTCAAGGCTTGGGCTTCAGGTGCCTAGCCCCAAGGGTCCAAGGACCCAAATAATAGGGCCTCAGGGCCCCAATACCATTGATAGTATAGTATTTGGGCCCTAAAACCCTATCATTTGGGTCCTTGGACCCTTAGGGTAGTAGTTTGATGTAAAGGTTCCGGTTTAGTGCTTCAGGGCGTCAGGCCAAGCTCAAGATCTAAGATCTGGAGTCTTGTGGTTTCATGTTTGTTCCGATGTGCAGTTGCCTTTAACTTTGTTGCAGTGGCTGGAGGAAATCTTGTTCACGAGGATGCCACAGGACACTACAGTTCTTAGGGTATAGGGTATCCGAGGAAGTGCAAGCTCGTGTGCCACCACAGAGCTCTATTGACCACAAGGGTCAATCCTGACTTCATGTTTGAGCATGGTGTTTACGAGCAAGGTTTGCGCTCATGTCACATGTGCCAACTGAAGTTGTCACGGTTCGGGGTGTAGAGTTTAGGTTGTGTTGGGCTATAGATTAACCAGATCAAAGCACATCCAGTATGTAATCAGCCATCATGCTTGTCGGTAGTAGTATTGAGTATTTGCAGACACTAGCGTAATGTCTCATTCGTGCTGTCCTGCGCATTGCTTGTACAAATCCAAGGGCGGCTATATGATTGGGTTATCGTAATGCTTGGTCAGGTTGCGACCCTCATTGCCACAGCCATAACCCCCAGTGATAACTGCCAGTTGTCCTCCAAGTAGATGCCGTTCGTTGAGGACCGACCCTAAACCCTAGACCCTAAACCCCAAGATGAGCTCTTCTGAGAGAAGATTTAGGAGGTCTGGGCTGACGGGATTGGGACCAGCCCCCATACAGAAACAGTCCAATCGGTCCACTGCAAGCCGTATACAGGACAAGACGTGCGCTTAAAGATATGCCATGCCTTGAAGCGACTGGAGTGTATGGAGGCAACACCTAGCACCAAAGCCGAACCCCAGATGCCTAGATCTCCATCCACAGAACCCGAGTTCCTGAACAGCGCGGCTTGTTTTATGGTATTTGGAATTTGACTGGCTGCGCATGGGCCAGGTGCCCTTCCCGCTTTGTCAAGCTGTCGTGACCGCATGGCTTATGGTTTAGGGAGAGAGCCCCACACGGTTGAAGGCTGAGAGTATGTATAGGGACTACCTGAGGTTCCAAACCACAAACAGGTACCATGGCGGGGCTCTCGGTGGCCGCAAAGGACGGCGAAGTCGTGTGAATGTTTCTACATGACAAAACGGCACACTTTTTTACAAGTCCCCAAAATTGGGAGCCTAATGCCTTGATTTTGGGTCTCCATGATATCCGCAAGGGCTGCAACCCAAAACCTCAAGTCTAAACGCCTGTTACCCACCGGAGGCACTCAGCTCTGCCCTCCATCCTCAGCCACGGGCCTTTGTCATCGCCATAAAGGTCTTCCAGGAGCTGCTCTCCTGCCCCAGGCCCTACCTTTTGTCTCCCTTAAGTAGATAGAATATGGGTCCCTTTAAAGGGGTTGTATAGGGGTTATATAGGGATAATGGAAAAGATAGTGGAAACTACTAATTATATTGTAGTAGGGTCTATATTGGGTTATAGTCCCCCTTAAGTAGATAGAATATGGAGTATATGGGGATCTCACGAAAACATACCCAAAGCCATATTCTATCTACTTACCGGGGACTGTAGCCTCTCACAAATTTGTGCACCGTAGCCTTTGTAATGCCACCTTTTTGCTTTCATGTTAGTTCGAGGCACAGAGGGCTCAGGCTTAGGTCTCCTCTTCGGCTCCTTTTGGCTTGCTGTGGTTGCATTAGGAAGCGGATCACTACTGAATATTCCGCTACCCCAATGCTCCGCTGAGCGAGGGCGGGGCTTGGGACTCTGCGAGATGCACATAAACCCAGAGAGGCCCACAACGTCCAAGGGACAAGGAACGCGCGTAAACAGCATTACACATCACATAAACATAGAGTCCAGAATTTGTGAAGTGTCCCCTTAATCTCTAAGCACTATTAAACCCCCAAGAACCCTTTTTACGTGTATCCATGGGCACTCTAGGAGATGTTGGGGCTTGATTCCTTTCTAGGTTGAAGATGCCGGGGTCCGGGCTGAAGGTTTAGGATTTAAAAATGCCAAGATATGGTCCTGAGGGCTTAGGAGCTAGGGATCTTTATGGCTTCGAGTCTCGGGATTGTGGGCTGAGGTTGAGGGTTTAGGGGCATTAACCCGTTCAGGGTTGAAAGGGCTTCGGGCCCAGGATCTATGGCTGTTGGGTCCCTGGATCCCCCTAAACCCTAAACCCTAAACCCCCTGAATGGAAAGACTGCACTCGAAGAACATTCGGGCACAAAGTACGAGCATATACAAGCTGGCAGTAATCCCTGTCATCCAGCAGATTAGAATTTAGAGCTAGGTTAAACAGAATCAAAGAGCACTTTAAAAGGAACCCTAGGAGGGTAGGTGCTCTTTGATTCTTGGGCTCATGTATTCC